TTATGTGTGCAGGGAAGAAAGAAAAAGAGAGAGAGAGAGAGAGAGAGAGAGAGAGAGAGAGAGAGAGAGAGAGAGAGAGAGAAATGCCTGCACGTGGTGGCCGTCGGGGAGTCGAAGGGGACGTGAAACTCGCCCATTGTACCGTGGCTTCGAAAATCCGACCCGGCGTGTATTTTTCATGCGAAAGTTTCGCTCGCGAATTATCGGGATACGCGAGCGGGACTCGCAGGTCGACAGCTCGACGCGATAAGCGAACTGGAGCGCGATTTGAGATTTACAGCGCTACCTTTTTCTTCTCAGACGCATTATAACCAATGTTTCATAAATAAGTTTTCCAGTCTTGATTGAGGGGTGGCGGAAGCGGGTGGGCGGTGAGGGGAGATGGAGGAAGAGGAGGAGGAGCAGGAGGAGGAAGAGTAGAAGAGTTTAGATAATGCGATTGGCGCTCGGGCTTGAATGTGGCGCGTCGAGACTCTTCGATTGTTTAAATTAATCGTCGCTGCGCTGTTTAAAGCATGAAAGGTCGCACATTTTCAGCTAGAATTAACGAAATTACCGTTCGAGCATTATCCGTTGTTCGGAAGTGCGTGGCTTTTTGGGAAACGAAGCGACAAACTATCAGAGGACGCATTGTGGATAGAATGTCGCAACGAGTGTCGGAGTCGGATCACGGAGAATCAACGGGAAAAATGGAGGAGGACGCCGTGATTGAAATGTCTGAGCGCTCCATTACTCTTTGCCATGGAAAATACGTGGATTATGTTGCCATTGGGGGAGGCAAAAATACAATTGTAAATGCAAAGTCTTTTTGACTTTATGCTCGAGGAAGAAAGGGAGTGCAAAAACTATGGATGGAGGCGCCGTGTTCCCTAAAGCCAACAACCGAGAAATAAACTGAATCAAAGAAGCGTATTGATCGCAGAAATAAAGCATAATATCTGGGCGCCAGGTATATTATAAATATTTTTATATATACAAAAGAATGTAATGTGCGTGAGCGAGGGACTTGTTGCAAAAAAAGTTCAAGCAGCGAATGGACGAATTTGGCTCTCGTGGGCATAAGTCGCTTCATCCTCGAGAAGTTTTCGAGAAACTATGAAATCTGGGCACGAGGAATTATGTAGGGGCGACTGTTTTCAGGGCGCTTCGTGAGATTGTACGTGAAATAAGAACGAGATGCGATTATGCCGAGCTTTCATTAGCGATAAAAAAGGCTTATTTAGAAGTTGTAATTAATATTGTTTTTATGATTAACTGTCGAGTTTAATGAATTGATTGTTACAACGGGGTAAAATGGTTCGACTTTGAAGGACAATTTCATGAGGTGGGAGGAACGAGAACGATTAATTCGGACAATTTGGACCACGTCTATCGTACGTAGTTTCTAAAATTCTTTTCTATAAAAGATAACCATTCACAATTCTTCCAGTCGGATACTTATTTTCTATGTCAATTAAAAATTTAAGCACATAGTTGT